ACAAGTGGAATGACTCAACTTGCTTGTTATTAAGAAAAATGCACACACAGATTACTAATAATGCTGATATACAGTGCAATCTAGCAACAACTAGAAATGAACAATGTTTTCAAATTAAAACAAAGTTGTACAAAATTAAATAACAGTAACATCTTTACTTTACTGAAATAAATTACATTAATTTTAAAATAAAATTCAAGAGTTCATACTTAGCTGATGATTTATAAAAGCTTGTTTGGCATGCTGTCCCGGGAGAGAGCCCCGAGTTTAAGGGCTCTTCGAGCCCGGGGCTTCCTCCCGTTGGCAGAGCGAGAGGGGAGCCTGAGCTCGGTGGATCTCAGAACTCCCCTGCTGCGGTAGCTAAGGGAACACAAGGGGTTAGATAAAGCTTGATTCTAATGTATGTTGAATGTCTTTGGATGGTGGGAAGAAACCGGAGAACCTGGGGAAAACCCAGGCGGAAACGGGGAGAACAAACCAGGGCTGGCAGTGTTCTTGCTGTGGGGCTCACAGTGCTAACCACTGGGCTGCTGTGCCGCCTAATCAGAGGTAAAGGAGGAGAATAGGGGAGGAGGGGGGTTTCTTCCAAACGAAGATACAGTGAACTGAAAAACTGTGGCTATTTATAGTAGCTTAGGGCTCATATGATTGAAAGATAGGGATTAGCAAATGCAAGATCGGCCGTGATAAATCATAAGCACGTGATCCTCTCGAAATTAGTTTATGAATAAACTTAACTTAAAAAGTCAAAATACAGATAAATACAACAAATACCCATTTTTAAAAATATTTTTACATTACTACTCTTGGCTTTTATCGCCATGCATTCATCATACTTTTCTCTGTGCTGCTTCAGGTGCTGATATAAATTTGTCGTGTTGCCACGTGATGTAGCAATTTTAGTTTGGCAAATTTTGCACTGTACCTCTTTCTGCTCAGTGTCCGATATCCTGAAGCCAAAATATCACTAAATAACAGAGGTAGGATTTTTTCTGGGCACAAGTTCAGTGTTGGTCTGTTCTGTATCCATTTTCTCCCGTCTCCACACTGCGCTGCATGAAGTCACATGACCACAAGCACAGCGTGGGCAGCGTGTTTTTTTGGCATCCAAGTTAACAGAGCTTTCATACCGCACGCAGCAGCAGCGCGTCAGAGTGAGGCATGAGCGTCACTGAAGCAGCAGTGGCGCGATAGTTTTGGCGCTGGGTCTATTTTTTTCGCGCTGCTCACGCTCAATTAAAGTGCATTGATAATGACCAAAACACATTGAATGACAGAAAAAGTAGCAATTTTACCTAATAAATGCGTTAATGATATTAACCGAGTTGTTTATTAACCATATTCTAAAATGCGGAAGTGCGCCTGTTTTCGCGATTGGTAAGAACTTCCGATTCAGTCGCCTATGGGAGAAAAGACTTGGAATAATAAACGGCAGAAAACGGTCAAACTACTCGCTCTACAAACAAATAATTGCATGACTATACAGACCAAGTAGAATAATATAATTAAAAAAATATCAAATTGCAACATCAAGCAGCGTAATAAGCAGTTTTTAACATCAAATAATGAATGAAAGTGAATGAGGCTGGAAGTCTTAAGCCAAAAAGATTCAAATTGCAGCGCCCGCTCGTCGGCGGAGAATAAGGTGAATAGTCAATCAAATGAACTTAAATGATTAAAAACTGCAACAAACATTTATTTAGGCCTGAACTACAAAACCAAATGTAAAAAATTTTAGTATCAGTTTTGCTTAAGTTGCACGCTAGTGTTGCAGGAGAGGGGGAATATAATATTTACGGGAATTGTAGTCCATAGCGAAGTATATTGTGGGTAGTGTAGTTCGACACGCATGCTGGATGATGTAAGCTTGCTGTGTGCTGTGCAGCTGAAGCAGAGGAAGAAAGTTTTATTCGACTTTGTTACTCAAGTTAATAAGTATATAAGTAAGAAATAAGTAAAATAAGTGCATGCATTAATTACTTTTGTCCGTCTCATCCTTTGCACGAGCTGTTACTCTGCTGCTGGATGTTACTGAAGCGGAGAAAGTAACACTAGTTTGATCATGTATAAATACTGTATCATTATAACTATATTGTATAAATATTATTATAACTAGGCCTAAAATAGCCTGACAATCAAAAACCAAATGACATGATATCAAAGGCAGGCCCGGCCCTAACCAATTTGGCGCCCTAGACAAGATTTCAGGTGGCGCCCGTCACATTGCAGTAAATTCCACTGCTAGTGTAACTAAATAGCTTTTTGATCGACTACTACAAGCTGGAAAAACATCTGATAAATATGCCAATGCAATTAACGTTATCGCTGAATAGATTAATTATTTACACATTTGCTTGAAGGAATGATGGGGGTACTTACATTACCATTACTCTTTTCCTTAACGTCTATCCCCTTCCATAACATTAGCTGACATTAAAACTTACATATAGCATTATAGCTATTTATTGGTTAGTAATCTGTCAACGTTGGGATGTAAAAAATATGGGACCACAAATAGCTTCCAATGATAGAATACATAGCAAACATTAGAAAATATTAACATCAAGTATAATATCAAATATTATTATAGTTATTTAGTGAAGAGCAGCAAATGAATCTCTTAATATTTTGTTTGATAACAAAAAAAAATTTGTTGTGTTCAAAGTAAAACACGCAGGATGGACATGTTTACATATTTTTTAGTGTATTGTCTGTTTAAACACACACCCAAATCTGAGCGGAGCAAAAAAAAAAAGAAAAAAAAAAAAGAAAGAAGCACTTTTCCGACGGTCCCTTACTGAAAACAAAACCAACTTAACTGTGCTCATTTCTGGCGCCCCTGGATGTACAGCGCCCTTAGCATTTGCCTATACTGCCTATGCAGCGGGCCTTAGTGCAGATAAAACGTTTTTTTTTAAAAGGTGTATTTGTATATATAGAGAGAGATATATGTAGCTACATAGAATAGACGGAGATAGATTGATCTCTGCAGCAGCTGCCGAAGAGCTGCACGCTGCAGACACAGCTAGTGTGAAAGGCAAAAGCCTGCATACTGCTTCTGCTCTCCATACGCGCTGCGCATGCGCTGCTCACGCACTGCTTTCGCTTTTGTTTATTTAATAATCGCAAGATTTGCTGTAATGTAATCGCATAGGCTAACATCGCGATTGCGATATGATTAATCGTGCAGCACTAGATTAGAGCTGTAATCAGGCCATAAAAGTTAGGCCCAACAAGGCCCGAGCCCAACAGAATTTGGCCCAAGCCCGACAAGTACATTTGATTGACAGCTTTTTAAAAGCCTAAACCCGTTTACAGCCCGACATTATAGAAATGTGCACATGCACACAGCCCTTTTGCCTGTTTTCAAGAATGAGTTGTTTATGTGATTTATCATAATTTATTCATAACAGAAATATAAGCTATTTAGAAGTTGGAACAAAGAAGTAAAATAAGTTTTCTGTATTATCTAAATAGGCCTACTGTACATACACTTAGCCTTTAAATTGGGCAACACACCAATAAAATGTATTTCCTAACAAATTAAATTAAAGTAAATTCTTGATTAAGACTGATATTTGGCAATAACAAAATTAAGATAAAGGCTCTGCAAGATTCGTTTCACCACTTCATTTCACAATTCGGCCTTAGGCCCCGTTTACACTAATGCGTTTTAGTTTGAAAACGCATAAGTTTTGCTACGGTTAGGCCATCCGTCCACACTACGCCGGAGTTCTCGAGCGCCGAAAACGGAGCGTTTCGAAAACGCTAAAGAGGCCGTTTTCATTCTGAAACGCTGCTGCTCCGTCTCAGAGTGGATGATGGAAAACGGAGACATCTGAAAACGGAGGCGGGGCTGCAGACGTTCGCCTCTCTGATTGGGGCTTTTCCTGAATATTAAGTAGCCTAACACGCACAGTTCAGTCCTGCTTTCTCTCTGTGTAAGTTCAGACTTCGCAAATTTGATCAAGGCTGCAGTCTCTTCTTCTCAGTTTAATATGGTAAACAGACTATACTGAGGACACGGGTAAATCTTCAAAGGGCACAGTGCACTTTATAGCTTCATTCACATCACACTGGCTTCGTTGTTTCACTTTCTCAACAATAAAATGTAAACATGATTTAAGGAACTGCCTATTTTCATTTTAATATTAGCAACTTAGACAGCAGACATGTTGAGGTGTCGTGCTGCATATATGAGCGTCATCTTCACTGTGTGGATATTTATAACAAAACGGAGCCGATAACAACTGCCTCCTTTAAATTTCAGTGAAAATACGAAACATACCCTCTCTTTTGCTGAATATCAGTTTTAATAATCGATAATGGCCATTATAAAAGTATAACATACAATAAGTTTATACAATATAGGAAATAAAGGCAAGCGATCAGTCAATATACAGAATGTACATGGTTACATTAATCATTAACTTATCTTTGCTCTCAGCCAAAACACGTTACCTGAGAACAAGTAATAGATTCCAATGCCCAAAGTCAGGGAATATGTCGTTAGATAAAGACAACAAGATGAATGAAATATCCCGTTTAATAAATATAGTGAGATTAGATCCAGCGGGAGATGCTTGATGAGAAGTTCGACTAGCAGAGCTCTCATCTGGGTATATGGGCTGCAGCGCTCGCCCGAGAGTGCGAGTGTGGTCACGTGATGTGCGTTTTCAGCGTTTTGGTGTGGACGGAGAGCAGTTCAGAAACGCTGGGTAAAACGCGAGTGTGGACGCGGATCGTTTTCATTCTAAAACGCCGTTTTAAAACTAAAACGCACTAGTGTAAACGGGGCCTTAAGGTGATGGTGAAGCTGAATAATTAAATAATAAAGCTAGCAACAGCCTATATACTCTAATTACATTATGCATTTTTGATTTGATTAATATTTAGTTATAATTTGAAAATCTTTTACTCACCAAGAATAGGCTACGTGTTTTTGTGGAGCAACATTATTGAATCCACAGATGGTTTTAGCGTGGTCCCCAAACACCCTTTCACTGCTGCTGCTGTGGCCGGAATGCATACTGATCTGGCTAATTTTAAAAGTTTTGTTCAGGATTATTTGTTAATTTTCAGGGAGTTGAGGAGGTGAAAAGTCCTCCTTATTTAGAGTGTTTACATAAACATAATTACCTTAATAATGATGTAACAAATTGTGGTTATAGGTATTACATGAAATTCCGAATAACATAACTATAAAATCATGGGTCTTCTCATGTTTTGTATCTGAATTATTTATTTATCTTTTTGTCTGATTTTGTGAGCCAATTGACAGTAGTTCCACTCTTTTTCCCCTGCTCTGCCAGCCACACCCACTTGCCTACTGCTCGCAGCGCTCCTCACCCATCATGTAGCAATTTTTGCAAAAATTCAGAGGTAGACATAAACTAAAAGAGTGGGGGGTTTCATGACCCTTGAATATTTTCTTGTTGGTTACATTTTACAATAGTGTTTCATAAATGTTGGTTAATGTATTTACTAACATGGACCAAGAAAAAACAATAATTGTACAGCTTTTTATTAATTATAGTTCACAAATTATTATGCATTAATTAAATCCAAAGTGGTTAACATTTATGTAATGTGAGGTAATTAACAATACTTATTTAATATTTAATACTTATTTAATACTTATTACTTGTATACAAATACTTTTATTTTCTTATAATAAATTTACAATTGCCACATTTCTCAAAGGCTCAAATGAATTATTTGATAGACTTGGCTTAGTTTATTATTGCAATGTATTATTATATTACAATACAATGAAGTATGGCTTGTTTACTCTGCATCTAAGAATTAGTTGTAGCTTCAGCATGTACAATTGTGCTAAATATAAATGTTTTCAATCATATATTAAGATAAATGTTTAAAAGTAAAAAAAAAAAAAAAATTCTGCACATAACATATATATTTTTAAATTTGAGAATTTCAAATATTTGCATTAGCAAGCGAAACAAATTAATAATTTTTGCTGGTGCTAGTGAGTGTACATTTGATCAATTGTAATCAGAGGAAGAAATTGGGAAGGATTAGTTATAAATTAAACGACAATTATCTTTTTTACTGTTAACATTATTATTTGTAACTGACATTGATATGGTTATGTTGATTATGCTTTTACATATGATTTATTTGTAGATGGAAGCTTTGTGTGACTGAAACTTAAACATCAAGAAAAAAAAGATCACATATTCAAGAAAGGGGTGCATAATGTATTTTGAGATCTAACAGGACTGAAAGCTATACGACTATCATAACAACAACAAATCCATGATATCTGCATGCATATGAATGGTAATTTAAAGATTACCTGAACATGATCATAGACTGTACCATTGACATCTTGAGAGCCTACAAAATTTAGAATGTACAGCAATATATTAAAATCAAGTCAGGGAAAGAAAAAATATATAACAATATTATATGTAAAGGCCTGATTGTATTCAAGTAAATTAAATTAAGCATGCAGTTAGAAAGAAAAAAAGATAATTATATTAGATGTCAGTTCCAAATTGCTTTTAAACAGTTTCAGTTGTATCATTATATCATCAACGTATAACATCATTTTGCAGTTTTTTTCCCTCATGGTTGTAAACTATGGTGGCCAAAAATTAATTGCCTACGATCAAAGTTTGTTTTAACATAATTTATGTGTGTGTACTGTGTGTATTTATTATGAATATATAAAAACACACAGGCATGCATATATTTGAGAAAATGTATATTTATATTTAGATATAAAATGTGTATATGATATTATACACATTTTATTACAAAACTATATTACAAAATTGTTTTGGATAGTTTTGTTTCTTTAACATACACATAATAATTATATATAATATGCAAATGTATATTGTGTCACAACAAACTTTTTATTTTGAATCCGATTAATTATTGAACAGCACTTGTTTTTTGCTATTTAACTATTCTGACTGTTCTTGAATAATTTGCTATTCTTTCTTTTTTGACACCGGCAAAGAACACGTTTTGTTGTCCTACAGTGGGTTAGGGTTAGGGTTAGGACCCGAACAAGCTGCACTGTGTTGAGGTGAACAGCATGAGATCTAAACATAAAGACTGCAGTTTGTAGATAAACTGCAGAGTTTAGATTTTACTGAAAAACTTTAATATTTTATTATTAAATAATTTGATTAGGAAATTTTATAGAGAAAATAGTGAAGTAGTAATTATTAAAGGTATGTGCCATTCAAGATGATGTGAGTGATGTTTTCCCCTTGCTTTACAGTTACTCTATTATTATTATTTAAAAAATTATATGAAAGAGGAACATGGACATACCTGTTCTATGCTTGCAGTAGTAAAAGACTGCAAATATCACAATCAGTAATCCAATTAACACAATTGCAGCTATAACACCTAGCCGCTTGAGATCTAAAGGGGATTCCGGTGATTTGTTCTCTGGAAAAGGAGACATTCTTCATTAAGAGCAGTGGTTGCTAGTTAATTTATTTTGAATTCACACATTAATTCAGTTGTTAAACCATTTGTTTATTCTAAGAGATGTTCATTTTCAAACTCTAAACGTGGTAGTGTTTGTGTGTTTGGCAAAGTACCATTATTTGTAACACAGAGCTGTTTGTCTATTTTGTCTATTTTCCAGCTGACAGGATTGCTGTAGTTACAGATGATCGATTTTTCACTGCAGGACAGGTTGAGAGTGTACATCTCTTGTAACGTTGCTTCCTCTGGTGAGCATTGGTTGTTCTGATAGCTAGAGTTAATGATGAGGTCTTGAGCTCTGCATGTAAAGTTGACCATACAGAAGTCACTACTGTTTGAGTTTACGGTCAGATTAGGAGCCTCCACTGCGTCTGAAACAGGTAGAAAACAATACATAGTTAATTGTTAATCAATTGTAAAAGGAGCAATGATATGAATGATGATTTCATTCTAGAACCAGATTATAACTATTTTTGTTTTTAAACATGATCAGCAACCAGCTGGTTACTGTCCAGGCTAGCACTGAAGATGGAGTCAACAAATGCTGACCTTCACTCATACTTCTCAGTTCTGCAGTACTGTCAAGAGTAAATTAATTACTTGTTTTTTTTATATTTTAAAGTTGAAAAAGTCAAGTAGGATAATTGTTAATTTAATCAGTAAAAAACTAAAATTGGATTAAGCATTATACTGTATACTATACATGGTAGGCTTCATTCAAAATAGCTTTTCATTCATTATAGCTATTTTACATTAGAGTGTGTTATGGTTGTTTTGGAAAAACCTACCAACAAATACACTGATTGCCATCTGACAGATTTGCACTGTCCCTGAAGCATGAAATACTGGAAAGAACTTTTTTGTCAGGGTTTTCTACTTTGTCTACGGCACTAACCAAATAAATTGTGTTCAGCAAGTCCCTACTGCTTAAAGGGTTAGTTCAATCAAAAATGTAACTTCTGCTATTAATTCTCCCTCATGTTGTTCCAATTCATTGAGACAAATTAAGATATTTTAGATGAAATCTGGGAGCTCTCTCCGGGAGCTCTAGCCCAAGTATCTATTAACTGTTAAGGTTAAAGACTATAACGTTGCTATTATTAATTACTTTTACTAATACTATGTTTGTTGTTTCAGATAAATTAGCACACATTTCTTATCTGTATAACAAAATTGACTAGTTTAGTAGACACAGTGACACATTTATGTTATATTTCAGAACACGTAATTAAAATGTATAGTGTTGTGTTGCTCAGAAAAAAAAATGCTGTGATTTATTTTTCTATTGTTCTGCATATTTTTATAGCTGTATACAACAGCAGATTTTGCACTTTGAATATACACAGCTTACTTTGCATAAGTTGTTGATGTACCATGTTTAATTTGTGGTTAGTTTGAAAGTTTAAAATGCATACGATTTATGCTTGTCTATAATAGCAGTTTTGGTGCTGAGTTTCACCAAATTGATTTTGAATGATAATTCAGATTACTTTTTACTTTATTTTTTTTTTTAAATGTTTTGTGTTTATTGTATGTTGTTGCTAGTTTTCATAATGTGAAGGAACATGTTTAAGGGTTAAATTCAACAACTATTACTATGCTAAAGCAACTTTAGTTTTTGCTTTTTGTTTTTGAATATATTATTCAGCTGGTTTATAACCTTGTGATATACCATTTAAAAAAGGTCAAGATTTTAAAACAGTCAACATTTTCTGCTTTACCATTGGTATGGTATATGCAAGATTTTTTCATTAACATTTTTTTTTTAGTTTTAAGGACAACAGTATCTCCAGCAGAAAAGATATTTCAAAATGCAATTTTTAATTGTAAAGCAATCCAGGGATTTATTGCCTACTCTGTGATTACTGAGGACTGTGATTACAGATCTTCACAGTTTTTTTTTGTACTGTATAGTAGGTAAGTAGGCATTTTCAAATGCAAATTAAGTGAAAGTATGGCCGAGCCTAGCAAGGATTAAGGTAATTCTTGTCTAATTTATTTATACTTTGGAAGATTTAAACACTTAAAAGCTCACCTGTTGCATTTTGTCTGGTATCTAATGGGAATGCAATTTTAAACACAGCAGATGTTTTCATTTTTGTCTCCCTGTACTTTGAATTATATTTTTGCCACTTGTCTGCCTACTTGTTTCTTGGGTTATGTCATTTGCTTTGCTTTGCACTGTGGTTTTAGGATTTTTCTTAAATAAATACTGCATGTGGAAATTGTCTTGAAATTTCATATTTGCTGTGAGAATAACTCCACAGGGATGTGTTATTTTGCATTGCAATTGATTCATAGATTTTTCACTATTTATTAATGAGGCAACATGCCATGGTGAAACTGTTCAATGGAATGTAAACTGTTGTCAATAGTTTAGTTTGACTTTATTAATCCCCTGGAGGGAAATTCACATGTCACAGCAGAGCTCTCCATACTAAAAATAGATAAATAAGTTACATACATATAAAAACAATAATAAGATTACATTTCATACTGCACACCTTGGTTCCAAAAACAATGAGTAAACACTTGTACATATCTAATATCTAATTTAAGTTCAGCACAAATCATCTGGTATGACTTTGGTTATACAATCTGATCACTGTTGGTAAAAAAGACTTCCTGTATCTTTCTCTGTAGCAATGGGGTTGAATTAATCTTGTACTAAAAGAGCTTGCACACGCTTGGACTGTATCAAAAAGGGGATGACTATCGTGGTTCATTATACTAACAAATTTGTCCAGCATTCGATCCTGTGCAATCTCTTTATTGGTAGGTAGTGCACACCCCACAACAGAACCTGCCCTTTTTATGAGTTTACTGTATTTAATTTGTTTTTCTCCTTCTCCAACAGTTCCCCTCCCCAGCAGGTTACAGCATACAGAATCACAGAAGACACCACAGAGTCATAAAAAGTTTTTAACAGTGTCTGACACACACCAAAGGACCTCAGTCGTCTTAATAAATGAATGCGGCTCTGACCCTTCTTATACACCTGGATTGTGTTTTCAGACCAATCGAGCTTGTTGTTCAAATATACACCCAGGTACCTTTATGACGAAATGATCTCAATTTCTGACTCGTGTATAATTACGGGCACCGCTTGTGATGGATGTCTACTAAAATCAACAATAATTTCTTTGGTCTTACTAGTGTTTAATTTAAGACAATTCATATCACACCAGTCAGCAAAACTTTTTAAAAGCAACCTATACTCACTCTCATCATGATTCCTTATATAACCTACAATTGCAGAGTCATCAGAAAACTTCTGTAAAGGACAATTTTTGGAGCTGTATTGAAAATCTGATGTATAAAATATAAATAAATATGGAGCTAAAACTGTTCCTTGAGGAACACCAGTACTGCTCATTATAACTTGCGACACACAGTGTAAGAATCCAAAATATCAGACCCTGAGAACTTTTATGGAATTTCATGAGACAAGATGCAATGTTCCAATGCATTTTTTAATCTGAGAAGTGTTGAAGAAACCAACTGTTCCACTGTTCTATTCAAATCACTGTTGACAATGCAAACACAGGCTGGAGAAACAGAGCTACATTACAGCAGGGGGTAATGCGAAGAAGTCACCCTTCTCCTTCTACCTAAACCCCCCTTCTTGACCCTTATGTTACCTTTTGATTAGAGCACATTTCACAAAATGTTCAAGGTTTTAACATGGTGTATCTTGCAGCACTATATTCATGTTTGGTATCATTTTAAATGTCTCTGTGTGATTGGTAAAGTGGTCCTAATTTTACAGTAATATTTTACTGGTATATAATGATTTGGTTTTTGACTTCTATAAGATCTTGATAAGATGCTCTCCCTCCTCAGAGATGGTTAAGTCCTCAAATTCACCAGGCCAGGGTTTCTGTGACACCTCTATTGTCTTGAATTTATGGCTGTTTGTTTTGACTCGAGTATATAAGGTAACGTGGTATAGGACAGGGGGAGATCTTGTAAAAAGACACCCCATTGCAGCATCTCTGAGGCTCGTTTACACTAATGCGTTTTAGTTTGAAAACGCATAAGTTTTGCTACGGTTACGCCATCCGTCCACACTACGCCGGAGTTCTCGAGCGCCGAAAACGGAGCGTTTCGAAAACGCTGGAGAGGCCGTTTTCATTCTGAAACGCAGCTGCTCCGTCTCAGTGTGGATGATGGAAAACGGAGACATTTGAAAACGGAGGCGGGGCTGCAGACATTCGCCTCTCTGATTGGGGCTTTTCCTGAATATTAAGTAGCCTAACACGCACAGTTCAGTCCTGCATCTTCTCCGTGTAAGTTAAAACTTCGCAAGTTTGATCATGGCTGCAGTCTCTTCTTCTCAGTTTGATATGGAAAACAGACTATACCGAGGACACGGGTAAATCTTTAAAGGGCACAGTGTACTTTATAACTTCATTCACATCACCCTGGCTACGTTGTTTTACTTTCTCAACAATAAAATGTAAACATGATATAAGGAACTGCCTATTTTCATTTTAATATTAACAACTAAACTGACAGCAGACATGTTGAGGCGCCGTGCTGCAAATATGAGCGTCATCTTCACTGTGTGCATATTTATAACAAAACGGAGCCGATAACAACTGCCTCCTTTCAATTTCAGTGAAAATACGAAACACACCCTCTCTTTGCTGAATATCAGTTTTAATCGATAATGGCCATTATAAAAGTATAACATACAATACGTTTATACATTATAGGAAATAAAGGCAAGCGATCAGTCAATATACAGAATGTACGTGCTTACATTAATCATTAACTTATCTTTGCGCTTAGCCAAAACACGTTACCTGAGAACAAGTAATAGATTCCAATGTCCAATGAATATGTCGTTAAATAAAGACAACAAGATGAAAGAAATATTCCGTTTAATAAATATAGTGAGGTTAGATCCAGCGGGAGATGCTTGATGAGAAGTCCGACTAGCACAGCTCTCATCTGGGTAGATTGGCTACAGCGCTTGCCTGAGAGTGTGTGTGTGGTCACGTGATGTGCGTTTTCAGCGTTTTGGTGTGGACGGAGAGCAGTTCAGAAACGCTGCTTGAAAGAAACGCGAGTGTGGACGCGGATCGTTTTCATTCTAAAACGCCGTTTTAAAACTAAAACGCACTAGTGTAAACGGGGCCTGAGACTTATGCTGCAATGTATTTCTCTGGTCAGGTATGCATCTCTTAACTCTTTGATTTATCTTTGATTAATGATGTTATATTGTTAGTCTCATCTCTGAATTGGCTTCCTGATGATTTATTATGTAATTGGCAGAATACAATTTACCTGACAAATAAAATGTTAAGTTTTGATTAATTCTGGAGTTTTGCGAATTCATTGTATCCAGTAGATTATGCGGAGTCTCGTTACCTTTATAGTATGGCATAATTTAATTGATTAATAGGCGCATTTGATTATTGTTAGCCATAGTGTGCCGATAACATGTAGACCTTTTAATCATTTAACCACTGGAAGTAGCAAGTTGTATGGGCTTGGCTAAGGATCTGTTTTTTTAAGACTAGGTAAGAGTTAATGCGACCAGCTTATTCAAATATAGTTAATCCTGCATCCTCTGACTATTTTCAGAGTGTCGACAATATTGTCCATGAGAAGATGCGCAAACCCGGGGCGTGGAACTCTGAGCGATGTTGGTCCCTAATGAACGTACAATTAGAATATCGGACCTCAGAAAATATCAAAACTCTAAATCAAATCATAAATGATGAATGTGATCCGTTCTTACAATTAAAAATATAATCTAAATTTTAGGATCATTTAAATTGGAGTCAGATTGAATTCGGAGCTAAAAAACTAATATAAATAAATTCTAATAAATAATAAAATTCTTTTCAGAAGCACTAGAAAAGGCTTACATGCATTAAACCTTCGACCATGCTGTTAGTTTCGTCATTGGGCTAATAGATGGATTCTTACAATAGTTATGCATCCTAACATATTGTGGTCTATTAGTGATAGTCAGTTAACCAACTTACCATACCTTTTTGTAAACCTGCATTTTCTAATTTTACCTTTAATAGTGCAGGCTGGATAGTGCTAAATGCACTTGAGAAATCAAAAAATGTGATCCTAACAGTATTACCTGATGTTTCCAGATGACTTAGAGATTTGTGTAGAAGATAAATAATTGCATCATCTACCCCTACACCAGTTTTATATGCAAACTGCAGTCTGTCCTCAGAAGCAATCAACAGTTTCTTAATTTAAAACCAATCTTTCTAAAACTTTAATCAACTGGGCAGTTAGGGCAATTGGTCTATAATGAGAGAACTCAGTAGGGTTAGGCTTCTTAGGGACCGGTACTACACATAATGTCTTCCATAAAATGGGAACTCGTTCCAAATGCAAACTCAAATTAAAAATGTAATGCACCACCCAACAAATTTGATCCGCACAGGCTTTAAGAACTCCAGCACTGATGCCGTCTGGTCCAGCAGATTTCTTCTTTTTAATTCTCCTCAACCCATTTCTTACTTGTTATATGGTTACTTCTAGTTTAGTACCAGACTAACAAGTAAAATAATTAGAAGTTAAAACTGACGGTGAATCTAAAAATGAACTCTGATGTGTACTCGGATGAGAATTTTCTAAAATTTGAACATGTGTAAAGATTTATAAATGATCTAATCTGAACGTTAAGAAAAAAATAAACTCACCAAGAACAGATACTCTGTATGTGACAATATCATCGTTTTTTTCCCCACTTATTCTTGCTTTGTAGAGTCCACTGTCGTTCTTCTGCATGTTCTCCAGTATCAGAGAGAAGGTGTTTTCATTAAATTTTGCTCTGTTGTTGTAGGCAGGGTAGGAATTAACATTTTTAAATTTACTGTAATATTTAACTATACTTTCCAATTTAGTATTTATCCAGGTCAACTCTTCAAACTCTGGTTTTGTCTGTATATCCAGTTTAACAGAATCTCCAGTCAGAACAAACACTGGGATCTCAGCACTGAACCCTAAAGGGAGAGAATATATATTTTAATGCATCTGGTGAATTCACTAAACCCATTATTGTTTGCCATTTTAAAAATACCCCATATAAATGAAAAAAAGGAGAGAGAATGGCTTATTAGAAATAGACTTTCTGTATGCAAATTTATCTTAATCAAATAATAAGCCCATTTGGTTACATTTCTTCTTATAATATTAATAATTCAACAATAAATATCATAATATAAACTACAATAGAGCATAGTTTGTGTAGAAATATAATTTAAAAGTAGTAGTGTTGTTTTTTTTTTTCACCACAGTGAAAATGTTGTTTTGAAAGACATTTGAAGTAATGTTGTTTTTGATGTCATAGTGTTATGTTTTTTGTTAAAAGAAAATTTTAGTCATTCCTATTCAAAGGCATGGGAAAAAATATCAGACGCTGAAATGTATGCGGTCAGTTTGACTGTTGGCCATTCAAGGTGGAGATACATATTTGGTGGAAAAACTTTTGTGTTTTGTAATTTTAATAAGACAACAATGCTAGAATTAAATATACACACATTTAGGAAAAATATAGTAATATGAATTTTATTTTAACAAAAATACTAAATAAAAAATGCTTTTGTTCAAACAGAGCTTCCAAAAACACAAATTTCATACTTTTTTCAGTAAATTAACAGTGTGATAAAAGGTCAAGTAAGTTTCAACCATACTGGGTCTTTACATTTAAATTTAAAGAGCCCATATTATGGGTTTTTGAAAATTCCCCTCTATGTAGTGTGTAACACAGCTCTAAGTGAAGTGAAGTATCCAGCTAAGGCTTAAATCTGTAAGAATACAGTGTTTAAAATGGTTGATTCATCTATAAAAGAGTCGACTCATAGTGCTTCAAACGAGTCGCCTTGATACCGATTCATTAGGTGTTTCGCCATGACGTACGAACGAAACCAAGTTATTCACGTGCACGCGCAAACCCGGGAGTTTTCAAACCTGAGGCCCCACCCTCTGACGCAGAAACCCAGAGACACACACACACACACACACACACACACACAAACATGCCGGTCGATTGAAGTCACACTGCAGATGGATATATTGAGTCTCTACCCAAAGATGAAACCTCAGCATTATAGCCAAGCAGTTGTAAACTACTGGAAACTTCTGGAAACTACAGGCTACAAAGAATACTTCATCAGCGTTTGTTAAAGGAAGGATCAGTAAAGAGTAACTTACTGATGGACGTCAGGATGGATTTTTCTTCCTCCATTTCTCAAGTGTAAGTACGTGCAATTAAAGTTGCCTCGTTTACTCTAGCTTGCAAATGTATTTAGTTGTGATTTGTTACTTGTAACCGCGTGTACTGTATCAGGTTAACTGGATATATTCTCTTATCGCGTGCAAAGTCACGTTAAAAACGCGACGCGTGCTGTTTTGTTAACGGAGCTCCGTGGACGGGGAGTAGTGTGTGTGTCTGTGTGTGCGTGTGAGCATGCTGTCGTCCGGAGGTGTGTGTGTGTGTGTGTGTGTGTGTGTGTAATATGTGTGTGTGTGTCTGTGAAAAGAGCAGAGTGAAAAGCTAGGAGATCTCCTCAAATGTTTTTGGAGTTTTTGCTCAATAAAATAGTCAGTCGTCTGTATTTTCAAGTCCATAGTCTGTATTTACATTGACCCACTGGCAGCTAAAATCCACGCCTACACCATCGAGCGTGCATGAACTGTGATTACTTTTATATTGCTGATTAGCTGTTTGGCATTTCACTCTGACTGAAGGCAGTCGACCAATCGCAACAGACTGTCATTGGTCCAATCAGCGCAGATTAGCTTTGCGCTAAGGAGGGGTTTGGGAACAAATGAATCACTGGACGATTCATACGGGAGTCGCTGGGATAATTAGGTAAAAATAAATGCAGATTATAAGACCACGAAAGTGTTTTTTGACCTTGCATGCATATTAGACTGTTGTTGGAGACCCTTACAACCAAGATATGACCCTATTTCATGTATAATATGGGCTCTTTAATCAATTTCTGTACCTGAATGCTGCATTTAAGGTTTTCCATGCATGGGTGTTGAGATTATTACTCCATCAAAAAAAAAAAAGTTTCATTGGATTTACAAAATGTTTTACGGCGAGTGAATCTTGCAAAGAATTTATATTGGTTGAATTTAAACAAACAAACTAAATTTAGCAATCTTCAACTTTGTTTATTTAAAATGTATACTATGTAAATTGTTCGCAACCACTTACAGTGCATCTGGAAAGTATTAATATCGCTTCACTTTTCCCACATTTTTTTATGTTACAGCATTATTCCAAAATGGATTAAATTCATTTAAGGTAAGATTGTCTCTAGGCAAAAGGCTGGGGAAAGTTACTGAAAAGTTTCTGCTGCTCAAAGTTCCAATGAGCACAGTGGCCTCCATCATCCGTAAGTGGAAGATGTTTGGAACCACCAGGACTCTTCCTAGAACTGGCCGGCCATCTAAGCTGAGTGAACGGGGGAGAAGGGCCTTAGTCAGGGAGATGATCAATAACCCAATAGTCACTCTGTCTGAGCTCCAGCGTTTTTCTGTGGAGAGAGGAGAACCTTACAGAAGGACAACCATCTGTGCAGCAATCCACCAATCAGGCCTGTATGGTAGAGTGGCCAGACCAGGCCCGGCGCCAGGAAGTCAAAACTGAGGGGGCACTTAAAATCCATAGGGGGGCACTAGACCTGGTGACTGATTTTGGTCTCGTTTCTTTCATTTAGGCTATTTATTCACATTTATTATTACTTTGCTTTACTGCCTAAGTTACTGACCTAAGGCAGTAATATAGGCTACGTTTTAATAGTAATAACAATATGCAGTTTCGCTATTACGAATTTTATTAACAATGGTAATGCATACCGCTTAATGCAGATGGATCATGGCTTCAGTGCCAAACGAGTGCTTTAAATCATATGTTATTCTCCTTATTTCCGTTTTATTTCAAATAACAGGCCTATGAATGTTTAAAGTTTTAGGTAAAGATGTCAAATTATGCCCACACATGCAAGCTGACCCACGATCAGACTATTCGTAACCGGTAAATAAATATAGTGAAATCAGCTTAACCGAGTCATCCCGCTTCACGTAGCCTATTATCCAACCAACATCAGTGTTAGGGAAAAGCTAAATGTTACAATTTAATGTAATTTAAAACAATTACTTAGTTGCATTTTAAGGCATTAGTGTTGCCAGAAAAATACCTAGAAAAGACCAAAATTCACAGTTATTACCATGAAAATTGGTTAAATTTTGGCACGGATAACACGCAACTCAATATGCGATTTAACTTTTTTTTTTTTTAAATCATTTTAAATGTAAAAACAAAGATTTATCTTAGGCTATCATAAGTGTGCTTTTTTCGTGATATTGTAAACCACCCTAAACCATTAAGTTACTAGGCCTACCTGTCATTTTATTTCTTAATTATTTTATTTATTAAGCCTTTTTTTTAATCGCTTGTTTTCAGGTTATTTTCATTTTAGGGCCATGAGTTACAAGTCAAAACAAACTCGATATGTTGTATTTTACCTCTTAAAATAGATCTACAATATATTTTATGTTGTTTAATTTTGCATGAGCAAATAGCAGTATAGCCTAAATTACATTTTTTTTAAAGATTTCATTCAGCCTACCTGCAGCGCATGTCAGAGGTTTCTCAGTTGATCTGCAGTAAATCCACTTAAGCACTATACCTATTCCATTTATAACACTGCAAACTTGACTTCGCAGGCCGATCATCTTTAAACCCAAAAGGCATTTATTATGTGTTATACCTTGACTGCTGCTGCATAATGGGATGTTTCTCTACACAACTGTAAAAGTGTGCTTTCTAGCAAAATGAAAGCAAACTTTCAAAGGGTTCTGCATTTTGTCAATTTTAGCTTAATTGTAATAATATTAATAATAATATTAATAAATAAATTAAAATATTATTTATAGTGTAGCCTACTGTGGGACTGTGCAGTAAACTATTTATTTTTATTAAAACATTTTTATTAGGCCCGAATAACTAATAAATGACTGGCAGTTGCATCTCTGCTAAAATTAATTTAACAGCAAATTTCTTATGTGTTTTTTCCTTTTAGAGCTCAAGAGAGTTGTGTTTAAATAATTAGTTAACTAAAACATGTAATGAATTAAGCTGCTCCTATCATGTCACCCACTTTTCTCCTTTGTGAGTTGAGTGCGCCTCCATCGCCGCGTGTGCGTTTTCAAGGCTATTTACGGGCGCACCAGACCTGACGCGGGGACCGGATCTCTGGACTATAGGACTAGCTTTAATCTCACCATTTTCATAATTCAATTGCTATGTCATATATTTTAAAATATTTTAATGTGTGTTCTGAAGGTTGGAACGACGGGAGTGTTAATAATTAATAACAGAAAAAAATTTCAGTTTGAGTGAACAATCCCTTATGAAAACTGGGGGGGCACAAACTCTTTCTGAGGGGGCAATGCCACCCTGTCTGAATGAAAACCTGCTTCAGAGTGCTCTTGACCTCAGACTGGACAATGACCCAAAGCACACTGCCAATATCAATGGAGTGGCTTCACAACAACACTGTGAATGTCCTTGAGTGGCCAGTGCCCAGATCTAAATCCTATTGAATATCTCTGGAGAGATCTGAAAATGGCTGAACACCGTTACTTCCAATACAACCTGATAGAGCTTGAGAGGTACTGCAAAGAAGAATGTACAAAAATTCCCAAAGACTGGTGTGCCAAGCTTGTGGCATCATATTCAAAAAGACTTGAGGCTGTAATTGCTGCTAAAGGTGCATCAACAAAGTATTGAGCAAAGGCTGTGAATACTGATGTACATGTGACTTTTCAGGTTTTTTGTTTTAATAAATTTGCAACAATTAAAAAAAGAATCCTTTTTTTACATTGTCTTTATGGGGTATTGTGTGTGTATAATTTTGAGGAAATAAATGAATTTAATCAGTTTTGGAATAAAACTGTAACACAAAAAATGTGGAAAATGTGAAGCGCTATTTAATTAAATTTACTTTCAAATTAGTGTCAAATGGGCATAAATTGCCTGTATTGACTACAAGAAAATAGTACAACCAACTTGCTTATGTTATTATGAGTTTATTTAATTAGTATGTAATAGCTGTGTGCAAGTAACACTAACTGTCGCACCAAGCCTATTGCACAGCTAACCAGCTCTGGGACGGGCTGTTTTTTGAGATTCCACCAATCAAATGAGCAAAGTGACGCATCTCTTTCAAAATTTATACAGTTATTAAATCCATTACACAAGCAATATTAGTTAAAAAGCCAATTCTTCTTTTAAAATAAATATAAATTTATCGATTGCTGTAATATAAATAAGAATACATTTATAATCGGTAGATTAAAGTAAAAAAAAAAGACTAAACATGAGCTTAAGTTTTTGAGGATAGCTATGCACATTATAAACTGTACAAGCTAACTTCACTGACTCTATCATGAGAACGCAATCAGTATATTTGTTTCATTGCATACGAGAAGCATTTTAATAAATGTGTAAGATCATGTAATATTTTTGAATACTTTATGTATTTATATGTCCAATAATACTTTTATAGGGCCACTATTTAAATATGTAATGCTATTGAAGTATTTATAAAACTTTTTTTATGCATATTATGGTTTGGATCCCCCCCCCCAACACACACACACACAAATAATTTGCAATTATTTGACAAACTTTTCTGAATTTCTACTTTTTTGCTTAAAATAGTTACATCAGAGATGGACTCATTAAGAGTACTGGCACTCATAGTGATGACTTTCAACTACGATCATTATGCTACACACTGAATTAATAGCAGGGACTATCTCTATAGCCTGTATTTTCTTTTTTTTTTTATTCTGTCTTGATTTTTTTTGTCTATTGCGTTTTCTATTGGGTTTTTTGTCTTAAGTTTTTTGTTAATGTTCATTAATTTTCTTTTGGCTTAGTCCCTTTATTAATCTGGGGTCGCCACAGCGGAATGAACCGCCAACTTGTCCATCATATGTTTTACGCAGCGAATGCCCTTCCAGCTGCAACCCATTACTGGGAAACATCCATACACACATTCATACTCATACACTACAGACAATTTAGTCTTCCCAATTCACCTGTACCACATATTTTTGTGGGGGAAACCGGAGCACCAGGAGAAAACCCACGCGAAACTCCACACAGTAATGTCAACTGACCCAGCCGAGGCTCGCACCTTCTTGCTGTGATGTGACAGCACTACCTACTGCGCCACCTGTGTTAATATTACATCTTGTAGTTCAACTCGATATAGCTTATATGTTTCTAAAAAAAACAAACAAAACTTTTACAAGTTTTTTTTATTAATATTGAAAGGGTTCACAGTTTTTAACCAAATTAGCAACTTTTTTGTTAATCAAAGATTAGAACATAATGCAAAATGTGTTTTGCTTTCATTAGTTGGCGGTAAGATGAGACTTGTTTGAGACACTAAGATATTACTCAATATGAAACCATGCTCTCTAAACACACAGTTTTATGATATCAGACAATTGCTGAACATTATAATTGTTAAACTGGCAAACAGTTTATGGCTAAATCCATCTCAGACAACACTCTTAAATTATGCTTAATAAAAATCAATATAAAACAAATGATGAGCTACTTTCATACTAAAGTTTCGAGGCTCTTCGGTAGAACAAAATCACTGAAGCACATTAGCAATTGAGAATCTCTCTTTAGTTTACATAGTTTTAGATAATAGCCTCTTTAACACATATAGACCTTTCCGGAAAATTACCGGCAATTTTCCGGAAAGATGTGTACAGTATGTGTGAACAGGCCCTTTTTTAAAATACCGGTAAATTTGTTCCGGCTATTTTCCGGAAAGAGAAGTTGTAACATTACCACTAAAGTGTCGAGGCTCTTCGGTACAGAGCAAAAATACTGAAACAGATTAACAAAATGAGAATCTTTCTTTAGTTCACATAGTTTTAGATAATGATTGCCTGTATTTTGATCATACTGTCAAAAATACAAAATTACAGGAGTAAAAAGAAGTGGTTTTTTTTTGTAGTTTTTTTCTCAAACCACTATCAAACAATCAAATTCTTAAAATGATGAAAAAAGAGGAATGCACTGTTGTAAATGTTTCATTTTAAGAATATTTTCATAAATAATCATCCAAAACTTAAAAATATATGTATTTTATACAGATGGAATGTGTAGACGGTATACCAGTAAATAACCTTTGAGATCGTATGTGAACCTTACCAAGTGTAGTCATCTTTGTAACAAAAGAGCATTATTTATACATAGTTAACTTGTTATCATTGGTTTTACCTGTTTTGAAGATCAGAGAAAAAAGTAGAAATTTAAGACTATGATTAATCATCGTCACCGAACAGAAACACAACTCAGAAGAACTGCTGTTGCTTTGACTTCCTGTATTTGCGGAAACCACCCAAAGCGTATAAACTTAGTTCCTGTAGGTAAAACAGCAATAAAAACTTAAAATGCAAAACAAAATTTGCTGTCTATATACAATTAAGATTGATTCTGTAAATGTTTGGTTTTGCATGTGATGTGTACATTGCTGAAAAAGCTTTTTAATAGTTTAATAGTAATTTATAACAGTTCACACTTCCAGTATGTCACGCAGCCCTAATGCTAGAAAAAAAAAAAAAAAAAAAAAAAAACACTTATGAACTTGACTAACTTTTACACTTAGCAGTAAATTCTGCTAAAAGAGGAAGCTTTGCTCTCTGGAAGTGGTAAGTTATCATGTGGGTTTAAGCTCAGCTCGATCTGGGGAAGCATGGGCAGCAAAAAAAAAAAAAAAAAAACGCATTTCAAAGCTTATATGAAAGACCCTTTACTGGTTTGGAACAGATAAGAGTAAATAAATTAGTATTTAAAAATGTTTATTTATAAACACATACATACATACATATATATATATATATATATATATATATATATATATATATATATATATATATATATACATGTACAGTATGTGTGAACAGGCCCTTTTTCTTTTTATATATATTATATATATATATATATATATATATATATATATATATATATATATATATATATATATATATATATATTATTAATATTATTATTATTATTATTATATATACAGAGTTGAAGTCAGAATTATTAGCCCCCCTGAATAATTAGACCCCCTGTTAATTATCCCCCAGTTTCTGTTTAATCGAGAGAAGATATTTTCAATACATTTCTAAACATAATAGTATTAATAGCTCATTTCTAATAACTGATTTCTTTTATCTTTGTCATGATGACAGTAAACAATATTTTACCAGATCTTTTTCAAGATACTTCTATACAGCTTAAAGTGACATTAAAAGCCTTAACTAGGTTAATAAGGTTAATTACACTGTAAAAAATAATACCCCATATCTACTCAATAAATTTGAGGCAACAGATTACAAGCAATATTATTAATTAAATTCCACATATATGGATTGAGTAACAATTAATCAAATTAGCTTATTTAAAATTAGTCATTTAAATTGAGTAAGAAAAAAGTACTTAAAAATTAGCAATTTTTAAACAAAAATATTAATTAAATTGAACAGAAAAACACACAATGTTAATGAAAACTACTCAATGTTTTTATTTAGATTTAACATAAAAAGTGTGGAGCCTGGTCATCAGCTCTAGAAAATAATGCTTTATATCTACACAATAAAATTGAGGCAACAGATTACAAACAATAATTTTAATTAAACTCAACAAGTATGAATTGAGTAAAATTTAATTAAATTTAGCTCAAATTAGTGGAGCCTGTTCAGCAGTGTGGAGCCACAATACAGAGTAACAACAATCTCACAACAGACAATACATCATTTAATACACAATAAAACATGTACATATAAACAAACTCATCATCTTAACAAGGACTTTGATCATCTTTTTTTAAACAGCAGTTTCAAACAACTGGACATTAAACAATATTATTTAAAACAATAGACTTAGAGTGAAATTTATGTGATTTAATGCATGAAAGGTATTATTTGCCAGAATAATGCAGATTCATTGAAGCAAAGAGGTCACCACAGTTTGGGAATACTACCCTATATTATCTTTCAGTGTTAACCAGACAGTCACTTGTAAAAACAACGTTCTTTGTCACAGTTAAAATGCATAGGTCAAACCCAAGTGGACACAAGCTCTGGGAATGTAGTCAAGAGCCGTGTTTTCACTCTCGCGACTTAAGTTAGCGTGCCAATGCGAGCCAGGGCCAGTCAAGTTTCCACAGTCACTTCCGGGGCCTGATCAGATACCCTGGGCCAAAACAGTCCAGCTGGGGCTTTGGGCGGAGTGAAAGCAGAGTTTGCCTGAGTCTGGTAAAGATGAGGTCTATAAGAACTTTAACACCTTCGATGATGATGATGATGATGCCAGTATCTTTAGGCGGTCCCCTGTAGAAGGTCCCTGCACAGGTCAACATTACTGCCCTCACAAGCCGTTCAGTTCCTGTTGGTTCTTCATTGTCCAACTCCATTGAGCAACAGTAAGAACAAAAATGAATAAAAGAGAAAATATGTTAATAATCTGTTATCATGTTATGACATACAGTCAGAAAATGTAAACATGATAAACATTATAAACTTTACCTTTAGTCTCAGATCTCTGTCTTACTCCAAGAGCTCCTCAGCAGCTGTGAAGATTCACGGTGCACAGTGGCTTCTCTCTCCAATTCAGCACTTACCTTTAAAAACAGAATGACAGACAAAATGTTTACATGAGTTTTATTGATACATTGTAAAATATTTGACCCTTAATTAACAGTAAATTACTAATAATTGTATTACTTTCACAGTAAGCCACTGTGATTTGTTTTAAACTTACTTACAGTAAAATTACAGCCATATGTGACTTCAAGGTATATAGTAAGGCCCATTTCTGTGATTTCACCTTATTCTCTTGTAGAATTAACTATACTGTGAAGTTACAATTAATGGCAAGATGGTTACTGTGATTTAACAGTATGTTGTAGCTGAAATACTTAACTGTAACATGTATGTCCTGCTTGCAACCTAGACAGTCATCCATTCAGTCAGTCATTTTCCTGATAAGTTACACACTTGCTGGTTGATATGTCTCCTCTGCCTCTGACACTACAAAAAGTTGTAATAAGTAAATAGTGTTAGACAATATCATTTTTGTTTTGGTTTGATAATGAGGTTCATAATGAAGTGAAGGCCAGTTCTTGCCTTGCTTACTTTATTCTGTGGTCACTTTAACTAAATGCTGTGCTGAAACAGAACACAGTTAACACCAAGTTAACAGAAAATTACCTTTTTAAAAAGTCAAACACTTTCTAATAGCCTACCACGAAATTAGCATTAAGGTTACAAACATTTGTTCAATTCTTTTCACTCAGCGCACGTGCTGCTGCTGATGTGACAATCGGTCTTTGTCAGGTGACGTCACCGTCGTAAACACCGAATTGCATTATGGGACATAGCCGCCATTTGTGTTGTATCCGAGTTAACGTGAGCTGTTATGTGGCTTTAGCGTCTTTCGCAGAGTAAATACAGTGTTACGTTCTTGTTTTGTTAAGAGCTGTAATAGTAAATCACACGATCGAAAAGGTAATTAATGGTCACGACGACAGATATTTTAAATTTCCCGCTGGGAAGAAAGTATATTGACAAACTGTAGCGGTAACGGATGCATCGGGTGTCCTGGCCAGCTGCATTGAGACGCAAAATATATCTTCATTTCTCCGTTTATGCTCTCAACATTATCACAAAGGTAAGTACGAAAGATTATTTAAGTAACTTTACAACTGTCATTGCTTGAGCTTCAAATTATTTTATTAATTCAATGTAACACTTTAGTTTTGGGGGTAAAACTGCATTTAAATATTTACGAAGCAACTTAGTGCTTATGGATTTAAGATTGTAAAGTAATTGATTGGAAAAATATTGTAAAATAATTTTTTACAACTTAGATTTGCTGATGTACTTACTCCCTGACAAAAAGTACTTTTTCTTAAAACAAATATAGCTTTTTGTTGAAATCATTCCCTTAAATGTTTAAAATTTCCAGACTGTAACTTCATGAAACTGCAGTTAAAAAACCCAGTTCTTTTCCACTGTAGAAAAAATATAAATATATTGGATGACAAAGTTAATGCTTAAAAGTTCAAAATTCAATTCAGGTTTCTTATGCTAAAACAAGTCATAATTTATAAGCATGTAGCATTATAGTACATTTATTTGTTATATTTTACAAATAAATTATATATTTCTACTTTTAATATATATTTTATTTTTAAATTTATATTTTTTTTATATATTATTTTATTGTTATATTTTTGCTGTATTTACATTTCTAACTTTGTCACTGCCAGCCAAGCTGCATATGACCCAGACTGAGCACCATCTCTACATCTGGGCCACAAAGAAACTACACAGACAGACACTGCACACTCTGCAAGAAAAATTTAGAGGAGGGAAAGAAAACCAACACTGCAGTCAGCTGAAGATGTGGACGACCAACATGCTGAGAAGGAGACACTTGAGGTTGAAGATGGTGAGAGATACTGATGAGAAGACACACAACACTAAGGAGGTAGCTTAGGCAAACTGAATGTAAATTGTGTATGGACATGTGTAGATGTAAACCGCCTGTTGGAGAACTGACAGCTGCTGTGTGAACTTGAAGGATACAGGATGTCTGATGGATTTTGTGACAAGAATGATGCTAAAGTACCAAATAGTAAAAAAAAAAAAAAAAAAAAAAGAAAATCTTAATAACAAGCACTGAGCCATAAACATGATACTCCCTTGTGAAGGTGAAGATGTCACATTACAGCATAGGATTGTAACTGTCAAACAAGCCAACATTCAACTGAAGTGTAGAAGAGCTGTAGATGTCAATAAGAGTTAAAAGCCCAGGTGTATAAATGTTTTTTGTGCATAATTGATACATTATTTAAAAAAAATCCAATTTCATTTTTGTAACTGTTTTCTTTCGCTGTATGTATGTTTTTTCTGATGTTTCATCCTGTCTTATGTAAACAGTATACATCTAGAGGCATTCCTCCAGAAATGACTTTTCCCTCAGTGCCTGAATAAAAATATCAATTGTATAAATGTAAATAAATGGAGGATGATTTAAAATGTGTTGTTAACTCATTTATTGTTTTTGTTCTTCACAATAACAAAACTGGTACATCAGAACCAAACACAAGGTAAGCAGTTATTACTTTAACTAAATAATCCTTTAAAGAACTGAGACAAGTGCTTTTGCCTAAAGTTAAACAATAAGTCAATTGGTAGTTTGATCTAAATAATTCACCCACAAATTTAAAGTCACTTACTATTTACCTGCCATCAAGTGGTTCTAAACCTTTATAAGTTTATTTTTTCTCTTTACACTAATAAAGATATCATAAAGAAAGCTGAAAATCTGTAATTGAAATTGTAGAAAAACCAACAAATACAATAGTTGGAAGTCAGTAGTTACAGGTTTTCAGCTTTTATCATAATATATGTATTTGTGTTCAACATATCTTAATATTTGGGTGTATTATTTTATCTAATGTTTATTTTATTCAATGTTGTTCTCTATGCACTCAATGTATTTGACTAAATAAAATTATGATAGTATTTACATTTTTTGTTCTGTTGCTTTCATTACATTTATGGTTCATATTTGTAAAATACTTTGGATACAAACATCTATCCAATAGTTTGTAAATGTAAGTATTAGATGTATCTAATGAAATAAAAAAAATCAATACATAATTACAAATACTTACTGTGGTTTAATAGTGTTCAAACTAAAACAATGTATATTAAGACATTGATGATATACAGTATGACATGTCATTATTATCAGCAATGAGGGGTCGGCGGCAGCGCACTCCGTTGGTTTGCAGTTAATTCAAACGGATCTATACCCTGTATGTAAGTCAGTTTATCAAAATGACGATCCCTGGCATGCTTGTTTAGTTTATGGCGGTACCGCATGCTCTCGATTTTCTTGTACTTCTCCAGCTTGACCTTTTTATGGCATGTATCTCTCTTGCGTTATGTGTCTCTCAAGTTGCCACGCAAAGCGATACCACAAAAATGGCGCCGGTGTGACGTCACACACAACAAACGCACGTGACTGACAAAGACCGATAAAGTGATTTGGTAACCGATAAATCCGTTTGGATGAGACCACGACATCTCCGCGTTGTCTGGTGAAGCGAGTTGGCGTTGTTTGAGTCGAGTGACTCGGTTTGGTTCTAGGAATCGGCTCACTTAAGTGATTTGTAAGAGTCGGATCCCACCCGAAACCGATTGCATTTTTGTGTAACTACCAACACGATTGATTAGCAAACAGTTCAATCCAAAGACGGTTCAATCCGATTCAATCTCACACTGAACAGCACCAATACAATAATCAAATACTGCTCTAAATGTACCATGAAATTAAGTTTTAACGGTTGTTCATGCGAGAATGTAGTTGTTTAAAACTCTAATCCGCTGTTTATTTCTAAAGATTGTGTGTATTTTTAAATGTCCTTTGAAAATTGCTGACATGTCCACCTCCAGGTCATGACGGGTGCTCATCACTCGTGTACCCAGCGAGGGCAGCTAGTCCTCGGCGACTTGTGTGCCCCTGGCTAATCTGAAAATGCTCATTTTAATCACGTTGGATTTAATTATTATTTTCTCTTTCTGAAACTATTCAAAAATAACAGCTAAACTCTTATAATAAAATCTCGTTGGATTTAATATTTTCTCTTTTTGAAATTATTCAAAAATAACAGCTAAATTCTTATAATAAAATTGATTAGATTTTATTACAGACATTTTTTAATTCATTTCAAAGCAAAAAAATGCCCTAAAATCAGGAAATTAATTTCATTAAATAAAGTGTACGTATTAATATTAATGAAATCTACAAGGCCACAAAATGACTTTTTACAGTGTAGGCAGGTTAATATAACTTTTATATTAACCTTTAATAATATAATCCTTTGTTTTAGGCATGATGATAGGTCACCATCAGGGCCAGAGCAAACTAAACTGGAGCTCTAGGAAAAAGATTATCATGCCACCCTCATACCGAAAGCGAAAACGAGAGACAGGGTGTGATTGTGCATACGACAGTGAGGATCAGGTCGGTGGGGGATTGTCACGGATGAAAAAGAGGACCGAGGTGGGTGTCGCGGACAGAGCTTCAATCTGTGCATCTCTGATAGTAAAATAATTTGTTAATCTATAAACATTTATTTATAAAAACAAAAGTTTGTCATTAGGCAACAATTGCTTCATTTTCAAATAGATACAGAAAGCAGACATAAGAAATTTTAGCTTTTACAGATAGAGGAACAACAACAAAAAGGGTACCACTTCAGCCTAAACAGCAGCTGTTGTGTTTACTTGGCCTTTTTCTTCACACTGTGCAGAAACAGAATAGCATCTTAGCATCAATTTAGCATTCGCTTTCATCGCTTGTTGTAGGAATGAACAAGATTCTCCTCGCAAACCACAA